CCCCAATGAATGAAATGGGATGGCTGATAACCAACACTCAGAACAAAACCACACTCCTGAATGAATGCTTCATGTCAGTATTCTGTCAGTCCAAGGGTGTTAGCCTGCTTGACACGATGTAGGCTGATTATGGTAGGGGTGACAACCCGCCCCCCCCATAGTTGGCATAGACCTTGTGGGGGAGCACCTACAAAGGATAAATATCTACAAGTCAGCAGGACCAGATGAACTACACATACACAAAAACTTTAATGTTTGGTTTCACCGAAAAAGCCTTCCTCTCCAAAAACAAACAGTTTAGCAAAAATTGTAATGTTGCAACCTGAAATCTAAACCAAATAACAATGATCTGTATAACTTGTAGATTTTCAATGAAAACACATAAAATATCAAATGCAAACATTCTTTCAAGCATTTATTTTGATCAATGCATTATTTTTCTTTAAAAAAAAATATCCTGTGGTGACAAAACTCCTTTGCCAGGCACCTACAATGGTACAGGAAGGCACATTCCCAGGGTGGCATGTTCTTTCTGTGGAGGCAGGCTGCGTGCTTATGCTTGTAACATATGGGAGAGTTTCCAGCACGGGCAGAAAATACAAAGCACTGGCAAACTCCCAAAGGAAAGTGAATGCTCTTCCTCTAGGGATAATGCACAAATTAGCTGTGCTTAACCAAAGGGCTCAGATTGACTGAAAGGGGATCCATGCCTTAGAAGCTCATGTTCCAACCTCAAGCCCTACTAAAAATAAATAGGAAGCTAGTGGAGTCTTTGTTCCATCCCGGAAGTAATGTGACACCTTTCCCTGATGTCTCCAGTGCTTGTGCAGGGATGGCACTAGCTGGGATAACCACCCATTTAGCTGCTTTGAAAGAATGCCCACTAATAAAGGAGAGCCTGCTCTGTGCAACAGACATAGTGAGCTAATGCTGGCTTCCCACTAGCAAGTACAGGAGACCCTCGCCATTCGCAGGGGATACATTCTCGAGATCCCCACAAATGGCGAAATCCGCGAATAAGGCACTGCATTCATGAATGCCATCTGCGTTCATGAACACAGTGCCCCCGACAGCTGCAGGGGCGGGGGGCTACAGCTGTGCTGGTGACTTTCCAGGAGCTGATCCTGATGTACCCAGGCAAATTAAACCATAATGAGGCCTGTAGGCAAATGCCACTTTTATTTGGGGTGAGAAGATAAATATCTTTGCAGATCCATCAGCCAGGCAAGCTCAGCAAATTCTTTATTTGGAATTGTAGCAGGGCACCAGGGTGCCTGCTACTGGTGGTGGTAGTATGGGCCGAGCTGCCAATCACCAGGGCAGCTCAGGTGTGGGTTGCTGGAGCAACCAGGGTGGTCATGTGACCAGAAGGGGGCAGGGCCAGGCCCTTATAAACAGCCAGGCCGGAGCCTGGCTGGCAGTTCCCTTCTGGCAACCTGAGGGGTAAGAGCTCTGTGGGAGAGTTAAACTAAGCAGTGCAGCCTGAGCACATAGAAGGATGCATTATGCTGAAGGCAGAGAGAAGCCTGCCCAGCAGGCTTTGGCCAGAGAGCCACGAGGGCCTGGAGTTTACGTGACGGCCGGCAGGCTTATGGTTTTGTTACGGCCGGCAGGCTTATGGTTCTGTTGTGTATATTGTCTGGAGGACCAGGTGAGGCTGTAGGGGTGTGAGGAGGCCTCACAGGAGATCCCTAGCAATCTGGGGGTTTCCTGGGTGCCCTGTTTGGGCACCAAGCAGCGCCGGGAAGGCGCGGCAGCTGGGCACCAGTGTGGTGCGGGGTGTGGGGTTGAGACCCCTGCCCGAGAGGGCAG